AAGTAAAGTTTTCTTACTTTAGCAAAGGAAAACCAGTCTCCTCTTGGCTTATATCGAAATCCTCCGACATTTTTTTTTGCAAATCCTCGGTTTGTGCTACTAATTCATGACCAGCATTTTGTTTTGTTCTCTCTCCGCGTTCGTCATTAATCACGCAACGCTGACGTGCTACGTCATCCGCCGGAACTGCTTCCGCATATTACAGAAACCGGAAGTGAGAGAAAAGTGTTTATTACGTTTGAAATATGGATATTTTTCTTATTCTTATTTCTATTTTTTAAATGTCTCTCTCTCTCTCTCTCTCTCTCTCTCTGTCTATACTATTCTAATATATTAGGTAAATCCAACATCCCTTTTATTTTAAAGGTAAACCAGAAGGACAAAAGGAAGCAGAGATCAGACATAAAGAGATAGCAGCTTGTGCTGGCGGCTCCAATGATTTCCTCATGCTGCTCTGTGTTTGAGCAGTGCAGAGCGAGGTAGACCATGACTGGCCAAATGACTAAATAAATCCAGAACTCTTTATGGAAATCCACTGGGGAGCAGTGAAGTCAGCCTTCAGCGTTGGGTCTCAGCTGAGGGAGATTCTTCTTCGCCTGAAGCCGGTAATTGTTTTTCTACAATAGTATTTGCTTTTACTATTATTTTGTGAATTCTTACGACTTGTTCTTGACTGTTTATGTAGCAGAAAGACTTTCCACATGAGACGTTTGAGGGCAGTCGGAGTGAACTGCTGCGGCAGTGCCTTTGCCTGGGTTATTTCACCAATGTAGCCAGGAGGTGAGTGCCACACTGTCATTTTATTACATAATATGTATTTATTGAAGCCAGTATTAAAGATGTTCTGTTTTCCTCAGATCTATTGGGAAGTCATTCTGCACCATGGATGGACATGGGTCCAGTGTTCTTATTCACCCCTCATCATGTGTAAGGAATTAATTAAAAATGAGATTTTTTTGTCATTATTTACTCACATTCATGTCATTTCTAAGCCTGTTGTATAATAGTTTTAAATAAACACTTGCTTTAACTTCTTTTAGTCGTGAAGTCGTGGCCTAATGGTTAGAGAGTCGGACTCGTAACCCAAAGATTGCGGGTACGAGTCTCGTACCGGCAGGGATTGTCGGTGGGGGGAGTGAATGTACAGCGCTCTCTCCCACCTTCAATACCACGACTGAGGTGCCCTTGAGCAAGGCACCGAACCCCCAACTGCTCCCTGGGTGCCGCAGCAAAAATGGCTGCCCACTGCTCCGGGTGTGTGTTCACGGTGTGTGTGTGTTCACTGCTGTGTGTGTGCACTTTGGATGGGATAAATGCAGAGCACTAATTCCAAGTATGGGTCACCATGCTTGGCCACATGTCACGTCACTTTGTCATTTTTCACTTTATTCAGCTCTTTGGTCAAGAATTGCATCTGGATTGGATCATCTTCCATGACGTGTTGGTCACCTCACGGGTGTACTTAAGAACAGTTTGTCCCATCCGTTACGACTGGGTAAAGGACCTGTTGCCGAAGCTGCATGAAATCGACGTCTATGAGTTGAGTAGTGTCACTAGGGAAGAGGTAACCGATGAAGAGATGGCGCAGTGGGAGGAGAAAGAGGCAGCAAAAAGACAAGCAGGTGTGTTTGAAGAGGCTGAGCATTTTGATGTAGTTAAATTGTGTCATATTTTTGTAACACATTTTTTGGTTTTTCAACAGAAGTCACAGAGGATGAGGCAAAGAAGATGGAAAAGCGAAACGATGAAAGTTCAAATACAGAGGCTCGCACTCGCTGTTTGAAGCGAAAACAGCATCGGCTGCAAAGAAAGGGCACATGAGAGGATCAAATATTCACCACAGATACTGCAGCTGCTGAATACAAATATGAAAGATTTTATAATCTCAGATTTCAGAACATAATCCGCGTTTACTGCCACAGCACTCTGGTCCCTGTGGATTTTGAATATGGCTCTTGAGTCATAACATGTAATAAACATTTTATATCTTTTATGTAAATAAATATATATTTTTAAACTTTTGATACAGAGTGTTCTTTTTTTAAACATGTTTAAAGTGTGGACAAAACGTGAAACAAAACAGTTCCGCATCCAGTGCATTTGAGGGGAAGTTTTCATTTATCCCAATGACTTAAATCTTCGACTCACTAATAAGATTTGTTAAGATTAGTTCAGTGGCTCTTTCTACAGGTTACCAATAGGAGGTGATGAGTCACTGAGTCTTTCACTTTCTGTTGAACACAATATTTTGAAGAATGTTGATTACCAAACAGCGTATGGTAGCCATTGACTTCCATAGTATTTTTTTTTCAATACTGTGGAAGTCGATGGCTACCGTCAACTGTTTGGTTAGTTACCAACAATTTTTTAAATATCTTCTTTTGTGCTCAACAGAAGAGAGAAACTCATACAAGTTTGTCCCAACTTGTGGGCAAGTAAATGATGACACAATTTTCATTTTTGGGTGAATTATCCCGAGACACACCAAGCTGACATCAAAGAATTAGCACTGACAAAAGCTGGCGGTGTTGTCGCCTTGCTTCGCCTGGGACAAAATTTTGCACTTGAACACACCACAAAGATTATAGCCAATAGCAAACTTAAACATACGTTCTGTTCCTGCATGAGAAGAAATAACTCCATACTGGGTGGCAGTAGTCTGTATTTGTCATTAAAAAACTGAAACCTGAAACTAGGACTGCAGTAGATATACAAACTAATCACAGATGGACTCGCTGCTTCAAATATGTCTGATGAGTTGCAAATGGCACTGTCTTTGTCAGTCCTTTGGGCCAGAAAGGAAAGAACTGGAAGTGAAAAATAAGAGGTAATAGTTTTATCACTTTAGTTTTTTATTGTGCACTGGTTCGTTAACATCCAGTCAGGCTGGTCTCTCTTACTGATGGGCTCAGTTGCTGATCCAACATGCTCATTTGGCCAAAAAGCCACAGATGCGGTCTGACTAGTGCCAAGTGTGTGGAACACAATGCAAAAACTGGGCCGACAGGCATTCAACACTGGCTTGACATTGGCCGACCATTGGTTTGGTGTCACCCAGTCAGCCCTAAAAAACGGCCAGTTGTTTATGACCCATGATTAAAGGAACTCCATAAAATTTACAAACAATATGTTGACTAATTTCGTTCACTGATGAGATGTTCAGCTTAGGTTCTTCAGTGCTGTTCTTTTGTTCAGACTCAAAAAATACTAATTTATTGAAAAACATCGAAGACTGAATAATTTTATCTGGTTCTGCAAAATTATCTCATCTTTATTCAAATAATTTCAAATGGACTGAGTTAAAATGTTGTATTCTCAATAGCTAAATTCCCCAGACATTATCCAACCAATGACATTATGCTCCTTCCCAACCAGCATTTAACATTTTAAACGCGTGCGCTAGTCAGAAAACGATTCAGCGAACGACTCAAGATTCATTCAAAAATAACGATTCGTTCACGAACGAACCACCACTAGAGCGCAGCCGGAAATGACGTACATAGAATATGAAGAACTGAATGATGTGGCAAAAATGAAACGAATTATTTAATACTGACTAGACTACTCATACCGGCGCTTATAAATCAAATCTAAAATATTAACCGCTAAACGCTCACATACACCAAATCAGAGCTTCGCGCATCGCCTGCTTGATTAACAAAATCGCTGAAATCGCGAATGTCCTTCCGCCGCAAAATCCGCGCTGCTGCTTCCGGATTGTCAGTCTGAGCTGTTTCCGCCGCCATTGCGGGTCTGAGCGATTCCCATCCGTGCAGAGAGGGGAGAAAAAACAATAACCATCTGGCGGATTGGCTTGACACGACGAAAACGCGACACTTGCATTCTCTGTCTAATAAAGCCAGCAGTCCTGCATTTGATCTGTTTTGAATCGGGGGTGTCCGCGGAGAGGAGGTCGTCGCTCGCTAAAGCTAGGCAGAAATTTTGCGAGGAGTCCGGCCGGGAGGATTGAGAACAGAAAGCCCAAACCATGGCTCAAATCCTGCCTATCCGCTTCCAGGAGCACCTGCAGGTGGGGTTTTATTACGGCTAAACCGTACGAGACTCGTTCACGGCATTAATAATCGTTGGCTGTGCTGTTACAGAGGTGACAGTGTTAGTTAGCTTTAGCGCTAGCTCAATGAATGACCTCCCATCCATTTCAATGGCTGTGTATCAAAAACTCAGCATCTTTGAACGGTAGAATTTAATGCGTGTGGAATTCTAAAAACTGATGGATGTTCGAATTTAAAAGATCGAAACCGCCGTTTATTATTAAACGGTAAATACTAGATGTTCGAATCGAACGAGCGTATGATGCTTGAAATATGCAGTCTGGGTTGGCAGGTCACTAGGTTTTTGGACACAGCCTATGCAGGTGGATGCAGCGATCGGGGAAGGATTAAACCAGCTTTATCAAGCTACATACCTGATGTGATTGATTTTATCGCAAATGTGTCGTTTAGATAAAACGTGACTTGGATGCTCCACAATACCATTTAAAAAATGTCCCTTTATTGCTGATTTAAAGGGATCGTTAATCCGAGAATGTAAAAATTATAATCGTGTGCTCACTCAAAAACCAATATAAATGATGTTCGGCAGAATTACGTAAAATTATACGTAAAATGTATGGGTGGTTATTCAACGAGTCGATTCGATTCAGATCTTGATTGGATTACGATTCTATTCAAAATCGATTCTCTTGTAGATATATCAAATACAGAACGCGTAAATTTTTCTTAAGGAAAAATCTCGCTACTTATGTTGTAAACTGTACAGAAATCCAAATTAGATTGCGGTTTGTTTTTTAGATATAACAGTCAGAGCTCAAATAAAAAGAGTTGTATCCAAACACTGAAAATACACATTTATGTAAACTTATTCGTGATATACTTATGTTTTTACACCCGGAGATTTTTTTTCAAACTTATATTAAATGAGACACTAACAGGTTAAGTAAAAATATAATGACTATGTAATATGGTGCATATACTGTATTTAGGAGAATGCTCCTCTGTAGAGTTAGTTTTTCTATCTAACAAACATGCTATGGACATTAAATTCCTGAGGTAAATGTTATTTGACATTGTTTACAAGCTGTTTTATTGACGTCTTTTCACGGAACACTAAGCGATGAGACGTGAAACGGATTATGGTACTGTTTCTTTCAACATACCTTCTGATGTTCATTCATGTTTTTTCATGCTCTAACTAGTAGTAAAGAGGAAGAGATGCGCGCTGTGTTGCCACATTAAGGGCATCAAAATGACATTTAGTACTTGAATTTCATGATAAAATGGACAGAATTTGAGCTGAGACTTTTTCATATCATAAAGCACAACGCTTATTGTTTTGATCACGCATCAAATGAAAACAGACTAAATTATTGATTTTGGAACTTAAGAATAAACATCGATTCATCAAAATAAAGATGGAGTAAAATAAATTATTTGATATTGTCAACCCAGCCCTAGTTTAAAAAAAATGCAGTGAAAGTCAATGCTGACTGATGCTGCCACTCTGCTTAACATTTTTAGTGAACTGTCCCTTTAAATAATCTAACATTTAGGATAGTGTATATATGCATAGATGGTGTTTATCAACATTAATGTGTGATACATAGATAAATAAGATTTGAATGCTAATTCATGGATATGTGTTGTTTTTCATGACTTAAATTCCAGTTGCTGGAGCATTAATGTAATGAACCGGCCTGACTTGAGTCATTACAGTGTATTGTGTCATTGCGCAGGTGCATCACAGTGGGGGAGGATGATGGGGCTTGTGAGATTGTGCCCATAGATCCCTATTTTTTATTTCAAAACGTCCCATAAACATTGAAATAGACTTGCAGCAGACACATTTATGACCTCCAGGCAGTGTATTAAAAAATAAAGCCAAGCTAGACAGCATTTTGATGCCGAAATAAAAAAATACTAGTTCTGTATCTAACAATGGTAAATAATGCCTGTCCACCTCTTACAGCTCCAAAACCTGGGCATAAACCCAGCGAACATTGGGTTTAGCACCCTCACGATGGAGTCGGATAAGTTCATCTGCATCCGGGAGAAGGTGGGCGAACAGGCCCAGGTGGTGATCATCGACATGAGCGATCCAAATACGCCCATCCGCAGGCCCATCTCTGCAGACAGTGCCATCATGAACCCAGCCAGCAAAGTCATTGCTCTTAAAGGTAAGACACAGGGACATTAAAGACATTTGAAAAGTGGGGGGACACATTAAGGCATGGATTTTTGAAATGTAAAGATAATTTTTGGCATGAATATAGAAATTTCCATGAGTTTGAGTGTTCCTGCAACCCCCTCCCACCCCCTCAATATATAACATGACTACAATATCTTTAGCTGACTGTATTTCCATCGAGACAGTTTAGTGTAACAGTGTATGACTTTTGTGATGTCAAATGACATAATTATTCTAAAATACCCTCCATAATTCCTACAAGGTTGTTCATATTCCCAGCCATCTCTGTCTCGTTACGTATTAAAGCTTCTTGCTGTAATGTTTTGGTTAAGAATAGCTTTTAAAATGCTCATTGGAAATGTCTTGCCGTCATAAATGCTTTGTCTGTTCTTGCTTGTTTTTGTTCTTTTTTATTTTTTGTTTCTTACTGCTTTCTTATGTTTGCAGACGGTGAGTTCAATTTCATCTATCCTGACTTGTGGGATTTTGAATTGTGAAATGTGGGGTCAATCTGAATGCCTTTGTTGAATGATAGGTTAGCCATGTAAGGAGGGAGTTGGGATCATGTAACATGCATGTAACATGGCAGCAGGCTGTTTTTTTTTTTCTTTAGTGTAAAATTAAATACATTTTGTTGTAGTTAGACAAAACGACAATATTCAGCTCATTTAATTTTTTTTGGTTTGGCACTTGGCAGTATACTGTTAATTAGGGCTGGGCGATATAACTAAGCATTGAGCTTCTATATTTCTCTAATATTTTGAATACATAACACAGCAGCGGCGCATCTCGTGGGCAAGACTAACAAAACATTAAAATGCAACAACGTCACTCACATTATCATCACCGCATCTCGTGCACCACTGATGACGCTCCCTGACCCACTCCTAACATTCAAATGCAAATGTTTATTTTAAATTAGACTAATATAATTTTTTTTATCCACGATCTCCTCATCACAGGCAGGCACAGCACTCAATTCAGCATGTGTTCGTGTTTGTGTGTGCTGTCTGCGTGACTCATAGCACGTGCTTATATCGTGCACTATATCGAACATTTTTTATATCGTTATCGAAGAAGGTGTACCGTCGATAAATATTGATACCGTTTTATCGCCCAGGCCTACTGTTAATGCAATGCAAAGGTGTAATATGATTGTAAACTGATAGATTTGCAAGGCAACTTTCTAGGTATATTTCACTCTGCAACTTAACTGTAAGAATGAGAAGGTGAATTATGACCTTGAAAGTAGTAAGATAAACTGAATATTGTCTTATTTGCAGTGATGATTTGTATAGGATTATAGTGATTTTGGAAATGAGCATTCAAAAGTTTGGGGTCAGTAAGTTTTATATATATATATATATATATATATATTTAAACAATACTTTGATTCAGCAAGGATGCATTAAATTAGCTAAAAGTCACAACAGAGACATTTATAAGTTTACAAAATTTCTAATTCAAATAAATGCTGTTTGTTTTTCAACTTTCTATTTATCAAAGAAACCTGAAAAATACACATTTAAGCAGTACAACTGGTTTCAACATTGATGTTTATAAGACATGTTTCTTGAGCAGCAAATCGGCCTATTAGAATGATTTCTGAAGGATCATGTGACACTGAATACTGGAGTAATGATGCTGAAAATTCAACTTTGCATCACAGGAATAAATTACATTTCAAAATACATTACAATAGAAAACAGCTATTTTAAATTGGTGTAATATTTTACAATTTTTACTGTATTTTAAATAAATAAATGCTGCATTGATAAGCGTAAGAAACATCTTTGGAAAAACACAAAAAAAAATTTTACTGACCCCAAACTTGGAACTTGGAATAGTATACTGAGTGCAGAAATTTATTTTTTTAAGCCTTGAGTTTCAATAATATATGCATTTATTAGTAATATTCAGAATTGTTAGGTGTTTTCCCCCTCATGACATTGTTACATGTAAGGCCAGATGTTTTTTTTTTATTTTTATTTTTATCAATTACCAACAGTGGTTAGCAGAAATTAAATCAAATATACAGTGACCCCCAAAAATATTTGGACACTTAAAAAGTCAGAATGCCGTCACATTAGAGAAAATGATCAAATCGAGTGCAAACAAAAGCATGTTCAAACAAATCATAATTCCGCTTTTCTCAAAACTAATTAGTTTTTTAATGGTTGTTTGAAATCTACTTTCCACAATATCGACTTGACATTTGACAACTATAAAGTGTCCAAATACTTTGTCTTAATTTTATTTAAATCAAATGATTTGTTTTGATTAAAAAGTGTGCTTCTGCTAATTTTCTTTAAAACAAATGCTACTATTTTATTTTTGTTGCAGTGATATTCATATATTAAGTGTGGCTTTAAGTGTCTCAATGCATTTTGGGGCCACTGTATTTTGATTAAAAGAATAATACATCTCTGCAGATTTAGCTAATTGCAGTCCACATTTTAGGCTAAAACTTTTAAACATGTTTATACTAGACTTGTGCCGGTATTCGGTAATACGATATATCACGGTAATGAATATGCACGATATTGTTATCGTCGGCACTTCTAAATACTGTGAATAATTATATATTACAAATTATTCAGAATTTTGAATGCATTTTAAGAATAATTTTCCCATAAACTGGTCAAAATGCACAACAGCGCTGTATGCTGCATGAAAGACATGTGCTCTGTATGCTGCATGAAAGACAGGCACTGATGTAAACAAGCGCCAACAAGAAGCACATGGCGGAACATGTGAGAGACGCTCTGGATGAAAGCGCACTTTCACTCTCTGACAGCAGATGGCACTAAATTGCAGAAATAATAATAATAATAATAATTCATTTAAATGCAGCCACATCGTGATAATACCGTATACCGTAATAAAAGCATTAGCAATTAATCGCAACATGAAAATTTGATACCGGCATAACCATAGTTTATACATGTTTTAGCAAATTGTATTCCCACATACTTGAGGTAAGGTGATGATTCATGTGATTGCAGGCGAGAATAATATTATGGTTTTTAATATGGTTTTTTTTTTACATTAAACAATCTGCATTGCATTTTTTGTAGTGCAGAGTAGAGACATATGAGCTCCTAACTAATTAATAATTGATAAGCTTGCTAGATTTAGAACTTCACTAAAAATTGTCCAACTAAATGCAGATTAAAACTCGGCTTGATGTTTGTAAATGTTTGCAGTGTTTGTCCTATAGCTGTTCCTTTTGCATTGTAACTGCTTTGTCATGATGTCCATATCTTTGTTGTTACTTTGCACTTATGATTTAACACACATCATGCTGTTAGCATTACGCTTGATGTCTGTATGTTAACTAATTTAAATCACACCATTAAGAAAAAAAAAACATTGCCGTTTTATTCAAGTGACCTCTGTTCCTGAATTTCAGCGGCAAAAACCCTTCAGATTTTCAACATTGAAATGAAGAGCAAGATGAAGGCCCACACCATGACTGATGACGTTACATTTTGGAAGTGGATCTCTCTCAATACCGTAGCACTTGTGACAGACACTGCGGTCTATCACTGGAGTATGGAAGGAGACTCACAGCCCATCAAAGTCTTTGATCGGCATTCCAGTTTAGCAGGCTGTCAAATTATTAACTACCGCACTGACGCCAAACAGAAATGGCTGCTTCTAATTGGAATTTCTGCACAGGTACAAATAACGATTTGATTTGCAATCTTTAATGCGCAAAAAAATTGCCTGATCTTTTCTCATTAACCTGCATGTCACAGTTGGTGGTGTTTTTCTGCTGAAATGCCATTTTTAAACCTTTTCCTGTCAGCAAAACCGCGTTGTGGGCGCAATGCAACTTTACTCAGTGGACAGAAAGGTGTCGCAGCCGATCGAAGGCCATGCTGCTGGATTTGCTCAGTTTAAAATGGAGGGAAATGCTGAGGAATCCACACTTTTCTGCTTTGCTGTTCGGGGACAAGCTGGAGGAAAGGTCTGGTTATTTTTTGAAAATGAACGTCCGTGTGGAAATAAATAGTAATTATGTCTTTGCATTGAAACGGTTGTAAATTTAATGTCACTCGTGTGTTTTTGTCCCCACTGTAGTTGCACATTATTGAGGTTGGAACACCTCCGTCAGGTAATCAACCCTTTCCAAAGAAAGCAGTCGACGTGTTTTTCCCTCCAGAGGCCCAGAACGATTTTCCGGTTGCAATGCAGGTATTCGTAGTTTTGAATATTTAATGAATATTATTAAAATTTGTCTGTTGGGGCATTAGGTTTATGTAGAAGACGCACTCCTTTCTTGTCTTCTTCTAGATAAGCTCCAAGCTCAATCATTTCGGATCTAACAGCATCCAAAATGTTCTGGTGTTGCTAGAGGAGGAGTCCAGAGAGAAGTGCCTGATTCCCACAGTGACGTTCAGTGGTAGTAAAGCTTTTATATAGGGATGTATGAGTGCTGAAGGTGTGAGGGAGTTGTGCTTTATCAACGCTGTCATGAATTCACACACAACTGTGTGATGTAATACAAAAACCTGAAACTGAAGATGGTACCCTCTTCTCATTCCCTGCATTGTTGGGCTTTTTTCTGCTGATCACGGATTGGCCGGAGAGAATCGTCACTACCTGCGTCACTGAACTTGCGACACAAACACAACAGAACCGCTAGATTTAAATCAGCACAGCCAGCGAAGGATTGAACGCAACTGTGTTGAACATGCGCACCTTTTTTTAACAACCAAAACGTTTTTTTTTGTCTGTTGTGGAAGAACAGACGTTCCTCTCATTGATAGCAGAGGATCGGATCTAGTGAGAGCTTGATAGACAGAGCAGTGTACTTAGAGTTATGGAGGACATATTAAGTTCTAGAATATTACACTTGGTTGAATTAAATCTAGGCTGTACTTAATTCTGCAATCCTTCACTTAAACAAAAATTGGCTAAGTTTCTTATTTTACAGATATTAATGGCATGTATTTCTCTGTTTTTATTAAGAATATGTTTAATACATTTCAATTTTGCCATCTTTCTGTGAATTGTATGAGTGATCATTAAGAAAATACATCTTTTATATTTAATCACAGGGGGTGTACTCATTTATGCTGTGCACTGTATCTATCTATCTATCTGAAAAAATAGGTTTTAAATAGGAAATAGGTTTTTGCCAGGAAAATAACCAAAGAAGCTGGCATGACGTTAATAATCAAATAAACAATATTTTTTCTCATGATTCATAAGTTAAGCAGTGTTTTAATAACATTTCTATTTCAAACTGCAGTATGTGTTAGAGTTGATAAGTTTGAATCATTTCCATGAATCGATTCAAAACTGAATTGTTCAAAATTTCTCATTGCAGGTCATTTCATATTACTATATTTTATATATTTTTAAATGAAATGAAAGGTAGGTAATGTAAAAATATAGGTAAATGTAGGTGATGCTTTATATGTATTATTATATTGTTGAATATAATGAAAATGGTAAATATAAGTTTTGTTCATTTAACTATATATATATAATTTTTTGATTGATTGATATGGAAATATTAAGGAGTTTTCACTTTGCGTTAACCAAACCTGTTGAAAATATGAAGATGAATATTTTGATCAAACGGATCAAACTTAATTGCCTATCTTAGCTATTCTAACCTCAGTCTTTGTGTGCCTGTGGTCCATAATACATTAGGATGCTGTAGCTGAAGGAATCCCTGTAAATAACAGCGTTTGTTGATCCCTCGACACGTATAGTGAGAACAGCGTGTGCCGCTCAGTAGGAGGAAGAGACGGCCGCTGTAATCCTCTTACTGTAGTCTGCGGTGTGTTTGCTCTGCTTCAGTCGCTTACTGATGACCAGCTCTGTCACAGGCCGTGCTGCAGACTTCAATAAGTGTATAATGGGATACCGGCCCATTCATTTATGTATTACCCTGAGGGTCGCTTTAGGTGCTTCATGGGTCCAGATCAGCATCATTTGGAGCCAATCAGTGCATTATTAGGTGCTCATGAATAGAGATTAGCCAGATTTAGCACTAATGTGGTAATGGAACAGATTATGGGTTGGCACACAGAGATTTGTTTATTTGAGAAAGACAAACAAACTTCACAACAAGCATTACTGATGCTAAAAAGATGCATAATAAACAGAAAGGGAGATCAGAGTTGACTTATATGTTATGGGACTGGTGAAGCCTGACAGAATATTAAACATGGGCAACTAGGGTTGTGCTGCCACGATTTCAGTATTTGGTATAAATACCTGTGAAATTTTTGAGTTTTTACACCACTAGCAACTAAAATGTTGAACACAGTCTTTCATAAATGAAAGTAAATTAATATTCAAAAAATTTAATGAAGTTTAAGTTTTGACGTTTTTCCCTTTATCGCTAAAAAAAAAGAAAAAACAAATTAAACAAACAGTTCTTGAAGTTTTCAGGTATCTATTTGTATCAAGTATAAATGTTGTCTACACTGGATGCAGTAAACTGATGCCGCGTTCTATTTTTAACGTGTTGACACAAAGTTCAAATGATTCTCAACGGTCGCTTTGTCGCATCCTGTAGCGGCGCAGACACTGTCAGCATAGTTTGTCAGTACAGTCAGTAATGTAGCAGATTGAAAAGTTAGTATCTTTCTGCAGTACAATAGACGGCAGTGCGGTGGTGACTTGAGTCTGTTGAATGGTGATTTAATGCTACGTTGTCACCTAGTTGGAAAGACTCAATGCTAAGTAAATAAACAACAATGTCCCCATCTTTTACTCTCACAATGAGCTTATCATATTAGTTTGCTACATTAGAGCTTATCATATTCGTTTGCTACATTAGTAGGGCCCTATGATTTCCGCGATGCAGAAAACATGGACGGAATCGCGGAATCCAGTCATAAAAACGGAATTTACTGTATAACATGGAATTTAATGGAATTTGTCTTATTTTTGATGAATAAATCAAAAACAGGTCAGTACATATATATAGACTGTTTGTGAATATTAAACTGCAAAAAGACTTATTTAAATACGAATGTTCTGCATGTTCATTTGATTACCAGAAAATACACAACACAGAATTTGTGAAAAAAATATTATTCATTATTATTATTTATTCATTTTAGAGGTTTACATTTGGAAAAGCTGTGCTTCCTGCATAAACCTGCCCCTGTTGGTTTGGTAGCTTGCTTGCCCTACACAGTTACCTTGTTTAATTTCTTAATTCAAGTTATATATATATTTTGTTCTATTTGTGTTATTTAAGTCATTTATAATAAGTGAAGTGAAGTTTACTGTTAAGTGCACTGATGTCCGACTCATTTTGAATAATAAGGTTTATTGTTAAATTGTTAAATACCCTGCCTCCACTACATAGGCCTATGTTTGTCACATCATTATAAGTGTTTGATCACCACATTTATTTGTTATCATTGCAAAAAATGTGTTTGTATATATATTCTGTTTATGTAGGCTATATACTGTATTCTATATACAGTACCAGTCAAAAGTTTGGACACACGAATGGGAAGGTTGCCCAAACTTTTGACTATACTGTACTATAATATAGCCTACACATAAAGAATATCGGCCGATATATCGATATCGGTCTTTTTTTACTCCCTAATATCGGTATCGGCATCGCCCCCCAAAACACCCATATCGGTCGGGCTCTAATATATATATATATTTCATTAATGAAAAACAGTATCACACATAACAGCACAACTGTATTTAACATTGATAATAATAAATATTTCTTGAACACAAAATCATATTAGAATGATTTCTGAAGGATCATGTGACACTAAAGACTGGTGTAATGATGCTAAAAATTCAGCTTAGCATCACGGGAATAAATGACATTAAAATATATTAAAATAGAAAGCAGTTATTTATTTTAAAAATAAATTATGGATCCCAAAGTGTCATTCTGTTTAATTTGTAGTGTGAATTATGCTGTCAGTGTCTATATTCTGTGTCTGACACTATCATTGTTTCTCAGGTGCTTTCTGTGTGCGTGGAGGAAGAAAACATCATCCCTTACATAACTAACGTGCTGCAGAACCCTGATCTGGCCCTCAGGATGGCCGTCCGCAACAACTTGGCAGGTGCAGAGGAGCTCTTCGCCCGCAAATTCAACAACCTATTTGCTGGTGGCAACTACTCTGAAGCTGCCAAAGTGGCTGCCAATGCACCAAAGGTACAGCAGACTGCATCACACGACCTGACACCTCATTAGTCATTGTCAGGCAAATGTTGGGGTTTCTGATTGGCTGTTGGCTTCTTGCAGGGCATCCTGCGCACGTCAGACACCATCCGTCGGTTCCAGAGTGTTCCTGCCCAGCCCGGTCAGACGTCTCCCCTGCTGCAGTACTTTGGGATTCTGCTGGATCAGGGCCAGCTGAACAAGTTTGAGTCATTGGAGCTTTGCAGGCCCGTCCTGCAGCAAGGCCGCAAACAGCTCCTGGAGAAATGGCTAAAGGAAGACAAGGTATATCCTCTTCTGAATAAATATGTGACCCAAAGTTGTATTAAATTAAAATTACTTTATTGGCAATTGGCAAATAACAAAGCATCGATATAACAAAAGAGATAGATAGATAGATAGATAGATGGATAGATAGAAATAAAAAACTGCTAGTAATGATAATGGTAAATAACCAATAATAGTATGAAATAAAATAGACATGCTCTAGGTTTTGTAAAGCCATGGAAACTTGGAAATATCAGAGCATTATAATATTGTGTTTTTCAAGCAGGGACAAAAAAATGGAAATTAATTGAGATGCACAGATTGCAATTTTCCTGGCAGATTCGGATTTCCGATTTTTTTTTTAAAAGTGTGACCTGCTGATACTGATTTTTGCCGATTCTGGTTTTCTTTGAAGAACTATAATTGACAGCATATACAAATAAAAATTTGTAAAATTTGTTTTAATGAGTGAGTCATTTAGTCATTCATTCAACTGATTCGTTCAAACGGCTGATTCATTCAGAAACGAGGCAAGTGACTGTCTTTATTGAATAGGTTACTGAATCATTAACTTACTCGATTTGTTAAAAAAATACAACATCATTCGCCATTTACACGGAATGCAATAAAATCTGAAACGTTCTCGTGAAAATTTTTGGTGGCCAAGCTTCAGTGCTTCCCTAGTTATTTTTCTTATTGACGTTTTAATCAGACTTCTTGTCCGGTCGGGCAAGTAAAATTCTCTCTCACTTGCCCCTTTAAAAAATCAGCTTGTCCCAAACAAGCGTTAATCGAGCCCTGTGGTTCCTCCACAGTTTACTTGGGCTCTACACATATTACAAATTGCAAACTTTGTGTCTTCTTCACTCACAGAAGAACTTCCATGCCGATGACATGCAGATGTGAGCGTAAGTGTGACATCAAAACGAAACGGCTGGTCGCCGGTCCAGGCCGATCATGCGGAAAATCGGCTAATTCTGGTCCCTGGCCGGTTGATCGATGCATATCTAGAAATTAATAAAATTATGGAAAAGCCATGGAAATTGCTTTGAAGAATTGACATTTTCTAGCTATGCTGTGCAGTAAAATATTTCATCTGTTGGATATTTATTTGTTTTAGAGTAAAAGTGATGCCTTTTCATTTCTTTTTTTAGGGGTTAGTTCACCCAAAAATGAAAATTGTGTCATTTACTCACCCTCATGTTGTTCCAAACCTGTATGACTTATTCTTCTGCGGGACGTAAAATAAGATATTTTGAGGAATGTTAGTAGCCAAACAGTTTTGATTCCTGTTGACTTCCGTTATATGGATAAAAATATAATGGAAATCAGCGGTACCTGAAACGGTTTCAGTCATAAAGGTTTGGATTGGAACAATATGAGGGTGTGTAAATTCTGATAGATTAAAATTTTTGGTGGTGGACTATCACTTTAACGTATCACATAGGCTGATTCACTAGCTAATCAGTCTTAATCAAAATGATTTTTAAAATCATATTCTTTTATCACGAACAACTGGAAAGGTCATAGAAATTAATTTGTCAAAAAGTGTGGAACCCCTTATATCTTTCCGACTAATGCAATTTTTGTTATTTAATATTATGTTACATAATGAAAACTGTCTGTTTTTGGTTCCTGCAGCTGGAGTGTTCTGAAGAGTTGGGTGATCTGGTGAAGTCTGTGGATCCAACTCTTGCACTTAGTGTTTATCTAAGGGCCAACGTTCCCAACAAAGTGATCCAGTGTTTCGCAGAGACCGGGCAGTTCCAGAAAATTGTACTGTATGCGAAAAAGGTGAGTTTAAATGTGTTTCCTTGCACTAAACATTTGCCGGTATTCGGTAATGCGAGATATCACGATAATGAATATGCACGATATTGTTATCGTGGGCACTTCAAAATACCGTGATAATTATTTATTACAAATTATTCTGAATTTTGAATGCATTTTAAGTAGGGATGCACCGATACCGATACTGGTATCGGTATCGGACCCGATACTGGTCTCCTGTACTCGTACTCGTTAAAATGCCCCGATACCAAACGCCGATACCACACAGCATGTGATAAGCGCCATATTCAAACAAAGAAACACCGACAACAGAATATTACCATTTTCTAAACTATAGCGAATAAACTGTGATAATGTGAGAAATGTTGAAGGTGTCTGAATATATTTTGGTTTGACTGTATCTATTTGATAAATGAAGTTAACCAACTAACATTATACATACCCTTTTGGTTTCTGTACCAAATATTTAAAAAATGTACAAATGCAATAAAAAATATCAGTATCGGTACTCGGTATTGGCAAGTACCAAAAATAAAAGTATCGGTATCGGGCGAGTACTGGAAAAAGTGGTATCGGTGCATCCCTAATTTTAAGAATACTTTTCCCACCAACTGGTCACAGTGCACAACACTGCTGTATGCTGCGTTAAAGACGCATGCGCTCTCTGATGTAAACAAGCACGGATGAGAAGCGCATGGTGGAGTGCGTGAGAGACGCTCTGGATGAAAGCGCACATTCACTCTCCGACAGCAGTATTGGTTTATTGTATTTAAATGTTCAGTTATTTTTTGTTATAAGAAAAAAGTTATTAAACCTGTTATACTGGATTATGACAACGCTTTTTTGCAACTAAATTTCAATATCGTGATAATACCGTATACTGTGATAAAAGCATTAGCAATTAATCGCAACATGAAAATTTGATATCCCTACCTGGCACTAAATTTCACACTGCTCTGTAAACTGCTCTATTTGTGTGAGAGATTTAATATTTAAGCTCCATCCTCTAATGCATGGCCATCTGTGTGCAGGTTGGCTACACACCAGACTGGATCTTCCTGTTGAGGAACGTCATGCGGATCAGTCCAGAACAAGGCCTGCAGTTCTCCCAAATGCTCGTTCAGGATGAGGAACCTCTGGCTGACATCACTCAGGTCTAATAGCGTTTTGTATTTCCTCAGTTGTATATCTTGTATTTATTTTATTTTATACAAATTTGGACTGGATGAAAGCATTTCTGATGATAAAGTAGGGGAACTTTTAACAACAAATGAATTTGCTAATGTTTTTTGCTTATTCTACAGATTGTGGATGTGTTTATGGAGTATAACCTGATCCAGCAGTGCACTTCTTTCCTGTTGGATGCCCTGAAGAACAACCGCCCCACTGAAGGTCCTTTGCAGACTCGTCTGTTGGAGATGAACTTGATGCACGCCCCACAGGTGCTCACTACAAACATCAGCACCACGCACCTCCCTTACTTTCCTATTTTGCAAAGTTTTGTATCATAACATGGTCTTTTTTTTGCCCTATTCAGGTGGCAGATGCCATCCTGGGGAACCAGATGTTCACTCATTACGACCGGGCCCATGTGGCTCAGCTGTGTGAGAAGGCAGGTCTTCTACAGAGAGCTCTGGAGCACTACACTGACCTGTATGACATCAAACGGGCCGTGGTCCACACCCATCTGCTCAATCCAGAGGTATGTCCCACAATTTGCTTCAACTTTTGCACCCAATGTTACTGTATCATTCATTTGCATTTATTTGAATGGAATAAGACTCTTAAATGTTGATAGTTGTGTTCATGGCCATCAGTATTTTGGTGCTTCTGCTCTGATTGATGTGGTAATATGTTGTGCTCTGGTTGCAGTGGCTGGTGAACTTCTTCGGCGCTCTGTCGGTGGAGGATTCTCTGGAGTGTCTGAGAGCCATGCTTTCTGCTAACATCAGGCAGAACCTCCAGATCTGCGTCCAGGTGGCCTCCAAGTATCACGAGCAGCTCTCCACCCAGGCGCTAACAGAGCTCTTTGAGTCCTTCAAGAGCTTTGAGGGTAAGAATGCTGAAACACTTTCAGTGCACCATAACTGATTTTCCTGAAATTAGGGCAGGACAATATAGCTTTAAGGGATAGATCACCTTCAGTTGGTCCCAATTGACTTGAATAGTGTTTTTTCTTTTTCATTCTATGGCAGTCAGTGGGGACCGGCAACGGAAGGTGAACTATCCCTTTGAAGTATTTTATCTCTTTTAAAAAAAATTTTTTAACCACATTCAGTGTGTACCTCCATATTTGTGTATTTGGTCTGACTTGTCCAGATAATTTTAATAACAGTGCATTACTGTTTTTACAATAGTGCCACATGGACACTTACCTGAAAAAAGTTTAAACTTGGGATGCACCGATACCACTTTTTTCAGAACGAGTCCAATACCAATGCTTTCATTTTTGGTACTCGCCGATACGATACTTTTATTTTCTTTGCATTTGTAATGTTTTAAAAATATTGGGTACCCTTTAATTTTTGTTTGTTTCATATTTACAATTTAGTTTTAATCCAAATGATGCATGTGCTAAATGAGCAAACAGCAGTCAAGATCATGCAACAGAAGTGCGCACTCTCTGACTCTCTCTCTTTCCTTTTACCGACAAATATCTAGTAACTTGTCTTTTGCATTGGTTTACTCACTTGCTTTAGTTTTGACACATCTGACTGAACTGCAAACTTTCCAGTGATGTCTGTCAGAAAGGGATATTCGCTCGACAAGCTTGCGCATCTGTGCCGCCGCGTGCTTTGCTTATCAGCTCGCGCACATCCGCTATACAGGCATGAATATTGAATGTTTAGCGTTAGCTATATTAAATACATAGCCTACATGTACTTCATAGACATCTTTAATCTCTAATAAATCCATTCTACTCTCTGTTTGTTCTGTTGTCAGTGATGCTTTATCTGGACACAGCTCTGTTCACACGCTGTGTGTTGTATCGTCTTTTGGTATCAGAGCATTTTTACGAGTACGAGTACAGGAGTGTAGTATCGGGCCCGATACCAGTATAGTTCAATACAGTTGTTTTAAATTGATTACTTGATTTCCGTTTGAACTAAATCATGGAAATGAATCAGATCTCATGAGCATATGTGTTCGTGTGGCCTGCAGGTCTGTTCTACTTCCTGGGCTCCATTGTGAACTTCAGCCAGGATCCAGAGGTTCACTTCAAATATATCCAGGCTGCTTGTAAAACTGGTCAAATCAAAGAAGTGGAGAGAATCTGCAGAGAGAGCAACTGTTACGATCCTGAGCGTGTGAAGAATTTCCTCAAGGTATGACTCCTGAAGGGCTCTTGAATTTGTTTAGGCTTTTAACAAGCATTTTGAAATGAAAAAGTTAATTATGCTATTAAGAACAATTTACCTTGTCTTTAACAGGAAGCAAAACTGACCGACCAGCTGCCCCTCATCATTGTGTGTGACCGCTTTGACTTTGTCCATGACCTTGTGCTCTACTTGTACCGCAACAACCTGCAGAAGTACATCGAGATCTATGTTCAGAAGGTACTTGAGACATGATTGCAGCAACTCTTGTGATTCTCAAGTGATCATCTCGGCTCTCGGTGTGGCGTTTCTGTAGTAGTGGCTGATTGAGCGATTAACTGGTTTTGTCAGGTGAACCCCAGCCGGTTACCCGTGGTGATTGGAGGGCTGCTGGACGTGGACTGCTCTGAGGACGTCATTAAGAATCTCATTCTGGTGGTCAGAGGCCAGTTCTCTACTGATGAGCTTGTGGCCGAGGTGGAGAAAAGAAACAGGTGCATACTGTTGGCCAATATAATGCAGATAAACTGAGTCATGATGCAATTTTAATTGTACTAAATAAGTAAAATATTTAACACAATGTTCATGTAAATATAGAAAGTGTTTCGTTGTTGTGATCCATTGACGAGTCATTTTTGAATATACACCTAAATAATGTATAATTTACACTACTGCCTAAAAGTTTGTGGTTTATTACTTCTTTGTTTGTTCTTTAAGAAATGAATATTGTTATTCAGCAAAGATGCTTTCAATTGATCAAAAGTGACAGTAACAGTTTACACCATTTAGACTGATACATAGCTAATATTTAAGAAATAATGAATAAATGAAATAAGAATCAAATCATCATATTAGAATGGTAACTTGAGAATGAACACTTTTAAATGGTGGTCTAAATGTATAAATAACACTTCTGTTGTTAATCTGCTAAATTAGCACAATTTTGTGCAGATAATTCAAATATTGTCAAATATCTATAATTATATTGACATTGGCCAGTAATAGTGTTTTATATTGTTGTGGTCTGATTTGGCTGAAATTAGTCTGATTCTGGTTTGCATTGGTCTAAAATGTACTATTTTGATCTCTTTGACAGACTGAAGCTGCTTCTGCCATGGTTGGAGGCCCGTATCCACGAGGGCTGTGAGGAACCTGCTACCCATAATGCCCTGGCTAAGATCTACATCGACAGCAACAACAACCCTGAGCGCTTCCTCCGAGAGAACCCCTACTATGACAGCCGTGTGGTGGGCAAGTACTGCGAGAAGAGGGACCCCCATCTGGCCTGTGTGGCTTATGAGAGAGGACAGTGTGACCAAGAGCTCATCCATGTAAGGAACAGTGGTGCTTTTGTTTTAGCTGTTTGTTGCAGCAGAATATTTTAAGATATTTTCTTTTGAGTGTTTATTGACAAATCCAGTACCTAAAATGGAGGGAAATTGCTATAACTGTTTTTTTTTTTTCTTTCACCTTCACAGGTTTGCAATGAGAACTCGCTCTTCAAGAGTCTGTCCCGATACCTTGTGCGTCGCAAGGACCCCGAGCTGTGGGCTAGTGTGCTTCTGGAAAGCAACCCTTACAGGAGACCCCTAATCGACCAGGTGCAAATTAGAAAATAACACAAGTCAACATGAAGCTTTATTTGCAGCCCATTTTAGTTCCTTAATTTTACATTTCCCAGTAGAATGGCCTAACTTGAAAAAAAAAAATCAATAGAAAATGATGTGAAAAATTGGTGTTACATACTAGAATGTAACCAAATGGTTGAAGGGGAGGAGCTAAAAAAGTAGGAATTGGTGATGTCATCAGAAAAGGAACATTGTTTCTACCTGTTGTTTTGAAGGCTAGAAATACCATGCCAATGCTTTAGGAAAGAAAATGGGGCAAATTTTAACTTCATGTTGACTTCAAGTACGTTGATGAGTTATAATATAAAAAAGTTATAATATACAAAAACATAAAAATTAAATACAGCTTATGTTCCCGCCCACCACAGGTTGTTCAGACGGCCCTTTCTGAGACCCAGGACCCTGAGGAAGTGTCTGTTACTGTCAAAGCTTTCATGACTGCTGACCTACCCAATGAACTCATTGAACTTCTGGAGAAGATTGTTTTGGACAACTCCGTTTTCAGCGAACACAGGTAATTTCATCCGAGCGGTGACGGAACATAAACTGATTTCCATAAATGATTTTAGGTTGTTAAACATTTGCTTTTCCATTATTCGTGTCCCAGGAACTTGCAGAACCTCCTGATCCTGACGGCCATCAAAGCTGACCGCACTCGTGTCATGGAGTACATCAACCGCCTCGACAACTATGATGCCCCAGACATCGCTAACATCGCCATTAGCAATGAGCTCTTCGAGGAGGCTTTTGCGATCTTCAGGAAGTTCGATGTGAACACGTCAGCAGTGCAGGTGCAGCTTATCTCCCAAATATCATCTTAATATATTCTATATGAATGTTTAAGCATAGAGTTGTTCCTGCCCTTAGTTTCTTTTACCTGTTTTTGCGATCTCAAATAATTTGTTGTCCTTCTTGGCTGTAGGTTCTTATCGAGCACATTGGAAATCTGGACCGAGCCTATGAGTTTGCTGAGCGCTGTAATGAACCGGCCGTGTGGAGTCAGCTGGCTAAAGCACAGCTGCAGAAGGGGCTGGTGAAAGAGGCCATTGACTCTTACATCAAAGCTGACGACCCCTCGGCCTACATGGAAGTGGGACAAGCTGCAGCCCAAAGCGGTAAGAACCAATAAAAAGTGCCTGATTCTTGACTAAATCTAAAACGTTCCAAGTTGAGATGTTCATAAATATGGGAAATGGTCTAGTAGTGAGATTATCGTTGTTTTCTCCTCAGGAAACTGGGAGGATCTGGTCAAGTTTCTACAGATGGCTCGTAAGAAGGCCCGTGAATCGTATGTAGAGACAGAGCTGATCTTTGCACTGGCCAAGACTAATCGTCTGGCTGAACTGGAGGAGTTTATCAATGGGCCAAACAACGCACACATTCAACAAGTATGAGTCTCCTACTTTGGCTAAGTGCTTGGTTAGAAATTAATGGGGCAAAATTTGCCACCGAAAGTGCAGATATCCAAGAAATTAAAAAAGTGGATGACAGTTCCCCCAAAATTAATTCTTTTTTTATTTTCATAAATGTACTTTTGCCATTTGGAAATGGTCTAGTAGTGAGATTATCGTTGTTTTCTCCTCAGGAAACTGGGAGGATCTGGTCAAGTTTCTACAGATGGCTCGTAAGAAGGCCCGTGAATCGTATGTAGAGACAGAGCTGATCTTTGCACTGGCCAAGACTAATCGTCTGGCTGAACTGGAGGAGTTTATCAATGGGCCAAACAACGCACACATTCAACAAGTATGAGTCTCCTACTTTGGCTAAGTGCTTGGTTAGAAATTAATGGGGCAAAATTTGCCACCGAAAGTGCAGATATCCAAGAAATTAAAAAAGTGGATGACAGTTCCCCCAAAATTAATTCTTTTTTATTTTCATAAATGTACTTTTGCCATTTTCAATATTTGCTGTATTTGGATATATTTAGATTTAAAATAAATTTATAAACGGAAGTATTTTACATAAAAGGATGAAAATATAAAAAAAAGCCCTTGGAAATTAAATAAAAAGTTAAATTAAATAAGTTCTAAGCTATTAAATATTGCTGTTTAGTTAAACAAATGACAAATTCCTGCAGTGTTTTTTGTAAATGTCTGATCGATTAATGTCTGAAATTATTTTGCTTTTTTCTGTCTAGGTTGGTGACCGATGCTATGATGAGAAGATGTACGACGCAGCTAAACTACTTTATAACAATGTATCCAACTTTGGCCGTCTGGCCTCCACTCTGGTGCATCTTGGCGAGTATCAGGCTGCTGTCGATGGGGCCCGCAAAGCCAACAGCACAAGGACCTGGAAAGAGGTCTGGTTATACATTCTTGTTCTTTTGTACAGTTACAGAAACCATTTTAAGTTGCAGGTTACCTTGTTGTGTTTATGTGAGTAGCTTTAATCCCGTTTGTTTTGCCTCTATATATTCTGTTTACATTGTGACAAAGATGTTGCCTGCTTGTAGGTTTGCTTTGCCTGTGTTGATGGGAAGGAGTTTCGTCTGGCTCAGATGTGTGGATTGCATATTGTCGTTCATGCTGATGAACTTGAGGAGCTCATCAACTACTACCAGGTGAGAATTATTTAATTTAGGTTTGATGGCATTTTCATAGCCTGAGATATTAAAAGGGTTCCCACAATCATGAAAAGTTGTGAAAATATTCATAATCCTTATAATTCTATAGTGGATTTAAATTTTAAGCTGTAATATTTACTATAGGGCTGTCACAATTCCTCGATTCAATTCGTACTCAATTTTAAAAATTCTTCGACTGCATTTTGCCAGTGTCGAGTAACTGGCAAAATACAGGAAGTGGCGAAGTTCACAGACGAGAATCCATGTAATGCATTATTAGACCATTTTCCTTGGCTGCCTTATATATTTAACCCATTTAAAAATCATAATAAAGCATAATGCTGTTCGTGAATTTACAAATGCTGCGCTTCAATTAAATAAGTATATGCGATGCAGGTTTAAGATGTGTTCTTTAATTATTTACATGGTGGGTTACGTAAGTGTGTGTCTGTGCAGCTCCGTTAACAGTAAATGCTGCTCCACACGAACTGTCATCATCTCAGTAAAGTGTAAAAACAGTCGTCAGGGCGTTGGCACCCTCTGCAGGCATTTGTTAAAATGCGTAGTGTACATTAGTTCTATTGTTTATAATACATTATGTATTTTAACAGTTTTGTTCAATAAATCCTTGATTACTTGCTTTTGATACTTTATTTGAACTAATTATTGCCTCATTGCTATTATATCTGTATTTTAAGTAATTTTAAAGGCTATTGTTAATTTTTATTACCACTAAAAAATAATTATAATTATCCGATTACTTGATTAATTGTCAGAATAATCGACCGATTACTCGATTACCAGAATAATCGTTAGTGACAGCCCTAATTTACTATAAAATAGTAGTTGATAGTGTGATATAATTGCACTACATTTTGCAATATTTCTTTGACTAGAAATTGTTCTTTGTGAGTTTAATAATTATTGCATTTATAAACATAAAATCTTACTATAGGATTACAAACAAAGCAGTCATATATATAGTATATAGATAATAATAGTAATTATTGTTGTCCAGATATAAGTCTTTTAAAATGAACCAATTATCACAAACAACTCAAAATCATAGAATTAAATTCATGATTTAAGAAGAACCTCCTTAGTGTGTCTGTCCATCTTGGAGTCCAGCAGCACTGATATTTGCTGTTTCTCCCATCAGGACCGTGGCTATTTCGAGGAGCTGATCACCATGCTGGAGGCGGCGCTGGGGCTGGAGCGCGCTCACATGGGCATGTTCACAGAACTGGCCATCCTCTACTCCAAATTCAAACCACAGAAGATGAGGGAGCACCTGGAGCTCTTCTGGTCCAGAGTCAACATTCCCAAGGTCTGTCTGCTTCAAATTTATATTGATTGATGAAAATGGAGTTCTTATATTTTGGGGGTGCTCTGATTTATCGGCTACCGATCACTATTGGCCGATAATCGCTTTGGGATGTTTGATCAACGGTCTCTATATAGGACAATAAGATCGTTAGGCTATCGTTAGCCTATATGTATAACAGTTGGTTCTGATCTGAACTTCTAATCTGACTGGACAAGAGACTTTCTATTGATATGTCCACCTGCGCGGTTCTTGCATTCCTCTGCGGTTTGCTCGTCAATAGCGCGGTATTGCGATATTGCGGTTATCGCGACAGCCCTATTCAGCGCTCACGCACTCTTCTGGAGACTGAGCGCTCATGCACACTCGCAGTGCACACACATAACACCAGGTCCACCTTACTCCGTTTGCGGTGCGTATTCTTTTTGTGCTCATGTTAACGGATTAAAGAGTTCACACTGCACACGATTGCGGTCCGGCATTGTGTTCCAGGAGTGGTCTGCAGCAGTGCAGCGATTGATTTCACACCGGATAAGTTTTAATTTAGAGTGTTTTTTATAATGTAAGAAAAGTATATTAAATGTTTTGCCACTTGCTTGAGCAACTGTGTTGTGCTGTGTGTAAGGTATTGTGCAACAATTGCACGAGTGTAAAAACAAAAATGTACTGCATGATTGAACATTTAGGTGAGAAAAATATATATTTTTGAAAAATTTCTAAAAAATGCTCCCCTCCACCCCTCAAATTAAAAAAATCCCCTCTCACAAGAGTCACCTGTAAGAGGGAAATTCCCCCCATTTTCAGAGATGAAATTCAGACCCTGAATAAATGTCTAAAATTCCTGATTGGAGTATTACTATAAATAATTCTACATGATAAAAATAAGGCTTTAAAAAGATCGGTATCGGTAATCGTATCGGCAGATACTGCTTTCTGTGATCGGCCTCAAAAATCCTGATCGGGGGCACCCCTATTATATTTTGTCCAAACTAATTATCATTAAAATAGCAAACCCTATATATGCACAGTGGTTCATCTCCATGTATTGGTTGATGGAACAAATTGATGAAATATTTCATGCATCTGTTCAGGTTTTGAGGGCAGCAGAGCAGGCTCACCTGTGGGCAGAGCTAGTCTTCCTGTATGATAAGTATGAGGAGTTTGACAACGCCATCATCACCATGATGAACCATCCTTCAGATGCCTGGAAGGAGAGCCAGTTCAAGGACATCATAACCAAGGTATTGTCACCTTTTACTCATACTTTGGGTTTAGGACTTCGTCAAACTTTGTTCACTCATTTGGACTGAAAAGGTTGTATTTTTTAAAATCCAATTTAAGCTTTTCTGTTAACTCTTGTTGCAGGTTGCTAACGTTGAGCTGTATTACAAAGCCACCCAGTTCTACCTGGAGTTCAAACCGCTGTTACTGAACGACCTGTTGATCGTACTGTCCCCACGTCTCGACCACACTCGTGCCGTCAACTTCTTCAGCAAGGTACTGTGTGTGACTTCCGCTTACCATTCCAGCCACCGTTTGGCTGTTTTAACCAAATGTTTTGATTTGTTTTTTTCAGGTCAAACAATTGTCGTTGGTGAAACCATACCTGAGATCTGTACAGAACCACAACAACAAGGCTGTAAATGAGGCACTAAATAATCTCTTCATCACGGAGGAGGATTATCAGGTATATATCAAATGCACCATTTTGGAACCAGCCTGTAATTTTATGAACATTTTCTTGGTTGGCAGCTTTGCGATCTATTGTCTTTTCTTTTTTTTTTCTCCACAGGCTCTGCGCACATCCATTGATGCCTACGATAACTTCGACAACATATCTCTGGCTCAGAGCCTGGAGAAGCACGAACTCATCGAGTTCAGGCGAATCGCCGCCTATCTGTTCAAAGGCAACAACCGCTGGAAGCAGAGCGTGGAGCTCTGCAAGAAAGACAAGCTCTACAAGGTCTCACCTTCAGCCAACCGTCTCTTATACCAGGGCTTTTAAATATTTTAGATGCCAGGGATCCCAAATATGATCATCCTTATGTGAGGGACTCCCATGCTAAAATTTAAAAGGTGTCAATATAGTTTTTATTTTTATAAAAAAAAAAATTAATAGAATTTCTACTGTAAAAAATGTATATTATAAATAAATCTAAGATATTAAAAATAAATGTTATATTAAGTTTTTCTAGTCATCACAGTACACTATAGTAGCATTTTAATCACATTTTAGCTTTAAATGTTATACTAATTATTTATTTTAATCTTATTTTATATAGTTATTTTGATCTAAACATTATAAATTAATTTTACCCATTTATTTACTTATTGATCTAATGTATTTTTTATCGTATTTTTTCTTATTTTATTGTAATTTATTTTTCCTACGTACTCAAATTTTTTTGTTTTACTCATTTATTATTACTTTATCAAATTTTATTTTAATCTAATTCTTATTTTAATCAGATTTATTTAGTCATTTATTTGCTTATTTTTAAATGTATAAAATGTCTTGTATTTATAAAATAACTTATTTTAATGTAATTTAACTTGTATTAATCTAATATATATATATATATATATACATACATACATACATACATGCATACATACAGGAGCATCTCAAATAATTAGAATATCGTGAAAAAGTTTTATTTTTGTAACTTATTTCAAAAAGTGAAACTTTCATATATTCTAGATTCATTACATGTACAGTAAAACATTTCAAAAGTTTTTTTTGTTTAAATTTTGAAGATTAGAGCTTACAGCTCATGAAAGTCAAAAATATAGTATCTCAAAATAGAATATTTC